ATATCAGGAGTAATTTCACTGAAAACGTTGTTAAAACAAGATTTCTTTGTAAGCATCAGAATTATTTACTTTTGCACCGAGTTTCTAAGTCATAGAATAAATATCCAGCAAGTTAGGAGAGAAAAAACAAATTAAATAGAAAAGCAGTCATGAATATCCCTTTAGGAATAAGATTATTCACCTAAAAATAAAATGAAATTCTGGTGCAGGCCCCAAACAAACCTAAGTAAATGAGAATAAATAAAGATTTCCAATATAAAACTGGTAAGTGAAAGTACTTTGAAAAAAACATATATAGAATAGCAACAATCTTAACAGAACTTACTATGAGATATTTTAGAACCCTAAAATTCTAGTAGAGATAAAATCACTAAATATGTTTTATAAATGTTAATATAAAAAATTCTATCCATGTTGCCACTGCTCAGAAACAATGAAAGAGCAGAGAAGTTTTATGTCAAAGACAAATATTACAAAAGTGCTCTGAAATTTGTGAAATCTATGAAACTAGTGAAACTGTTTCAGAACGTAAAAGGAGCATGCTATTCAGAGAAAAAGCAACTAATAGATGCATCATTGGGACCGATTATAAATATTTCATCTGTCTGTCTCTATCTATCTGTCTATCTATCGGTCTACCTGCCTGTCTAAATCTAATCAGGCTGAGTATCATCTATCCTTTTATCACAAGATTGGCATGTAAATTCATTCATTATTAAATTATGTTATTCATAGTGGAAAGTAAACTGTTGTACAAACTAAAATTGAGTACACACATTTATAACAAAATGAGTTCCAGACATACTAAATAATTTTTTAGAATATTAAAATAATAAATTTAACACAAATGTATTTTCAACATTATACACTGAGATGCATTGCAAATAGGTTAAAGTAAAATGCAAATGATGGGAGGTTTTTCCAACTTAGATGCTCATAATTATTTCTGGTTAAGCATGATTTATGTGAAAATACTTACACTAAGCTCAGAGCCTATTGAATCATTTTTAAAATCATTGGTCAACAATATTATCACTTCCTTAACATACAAAATATGCTTTTACAAATTAGAAGACCTCTCCTAAGATAAAAAAAATGATGATGAATGTCATCTAATATAGTTTGCATTATCTGAAGACAATGCATACAATATGATCAATCCAAAACTTAATAAAGGATATGCCCATATAGCATCATGATGCCATTTGTTTACCTTCATCTTAGGCCAATTGTCCCATGTAAAGCTTAAGGAAATCTTACTTCCTTGAGTGGTTGTTTGAAAATGCCCATTGTTTTGTTGCAGTACATGGTTTGCTGATATGCATATGATAATTTAAGAATATATAACTTTGAACAGTGCCCTTTGATTCTTCAACATTCTTTACCTTTGGTCAGGAGCATTCCTCTAAGTATCACACACCTTTTGACCCCTTTAAGGACCAGAGAAATCAATTAGAAAATCTGAAACACCCCCAAATAGTTGACAGTTAAATTATGATGCATGAAAGAATATAAATTATGCAGTCATAATAACTAGAACTTATTTTTCAAAAGTTCTTTCCTGTTTCCTTCTTATTTAGCAGGAATGACAATTCTCTTCTGATCCCTAAGGCCTTGTTCCTGGAGGATACATCAGCCTGCGCATAGTACCTGGGAATTGCAAGTGTGTTCTTTTCAGCCCCAGACAGAGCCCTCAGAGCAGGGCTCTATAGCAGGGCCAACTGCAAAAGCAGCCTGATTCCCTGGGCATGTGTGGGGACAGCAGAGGACAATAGAGGAGAAGGTATCTCATCCTCTCTGCCTAGGAATAGAAATAGATCCTACATTGTTGAACTGTGCTTGGAATCTGATAATGCTTGATCCCTGATCATTTTTGCATTACCTGCTATACTCAGGTGATGTCTGATCACACTGGGTTGTCTTCAGAATCCTCTCAGGGGGGTTAGCCAGATGTCCTCACTATCTTCCCTCCATGCTCCTCATGAGCACTAAGCACACTCGAGCCCGTCCACCATTCACAACCCAGGTCCCCAAACCACACTGCAGTGAATTCTGTACTGAGAGTTATTTCCCAATCAAATAAAGTCCTTATAATGATCAAACAGTGACATGAATAATTAGTCCTCTCACAGGGTTTAGGAGATTTCAACCGCAGTTCTCTGAGTCATATACTCAAAACTACTTCTCATCTGTCACGAATAAGAAACACTCAGTAGCTGGTCCTAGAATCAATGTGTATTAAGCACATGTGTAACAACACACGTATTAGAAAATGATAGAAGAAAAACTCACATTAAGGGTGTACTGGCATGATTCTATCATCAAGTTAAAAGTAATAAAACAATGTTTAATAAACTGTTAGTGGAGACATTCATGATTACACAGAAGAAAGAGAAAGTGCAGAGATAGTTACATCACCAGGTCAGAAGAGCTTCCACACCTAGAATGCCAATTCCAGTTGTGAGTGGTCCCTTCATAGAGTTTTCAGAGTTCTGCTTGGCAAAGGTCTCGGCAGAGTGCCCTCGCTATGCATGTGATCCCAAAGTCCTACCAGCGAGGCCCCTTAAATACCAATTAACACAAAAGTGGCAGCATCCAACTTCATGCATGACCAGAGGCAAAGAGTCTGTAGCCCCCACAAACTGGGCCAAATACCTGAGGGATCAAACACCTGCATCTGCTAGACAGGTGAGAAAGAAACTCCTTGGGATCTAGCCAGGACAACAGTGAGTCTCTACTCATATTAGGCTGTCTGCCCAGCATCCTAATGTGTAGTCTTTAGAACAAGGCTGTTGCAGTCTGTGATGACCAAGGAAGCTCTTTCTGTTTATATTTTTAATCCTTTATATGGCCAGCTGCTACAGGAACACTGTGGGTCAGCATCTTCTAAAAGATTCAATCAATCACTATTCCATTAACATTTCCTTTTCTCAGAAAAGCACAAGATATTTGCTAGAATTCTCAGACACTTTGGGAAATTCACTATTTAATTATGTGTCTGATGTGAGACCTGATAAGATAGCATCTGAGTACTGGAAAGATACACGTATCTAACTGAGCAATAAACACACTTTTGGGGGAAAGTCTCACAGAGAATTTGCCCCTTATTCTGGGCTCAGCTTGCAGTGGCAGGAGTCCTGGAGCACCCTAAAATGTATTTGAAATAGTAACTGAATGCTTACAGGAACAAGTTTCTCCAAGCCAAAGTGGTAGAATTATCAGAAAACAATTGGTAAGAATGTAAGTAAATTTATAGTTGGAGAACTAGAGAAACAGCAAACCCTTCATTTTCCTACGGAATATGTGGCAATAGACACTTAGCATTCAATTAATCCAAGGTGTTCAATTGAGATGAAGAATATCACTTAATGCCATACAGAAAGGTCATGCACCATGGAATAAGGTGGAGCGTGGGGTCCCTCTCAGGTTTCAAGACTGACAATGAGAAGCTCGAGGCACAAATACAGAAAAAGAATATTCTCTTCCCATACTCCCAACTATAAAAAGAGGCAAAATTCGCTGGCCAGCCTCTTGTGCACATGCGCAGGCAGAACAGGTGACACTGTAGAGAATTTTGATGCAATATGGGTCCGTAACCATTATCTATCCTATGTCCAGAAAGATAACCAATGAATGAAGAAGACACTTACGGAAAATAATAGAAGTCCCTAGTAGGCTTTATCTCAAAGATTGCAGTATAGTAGATATAGTAATAAAGAGAGAAAAAGCCCCCAATCACCACGT